TGAAGTAAACTCAGGGACAGACATAACCCCTGCCTTCTTTGGGTCATTATAATACTGGTATCTCAGGAATTCGTTTCACACCTCTGGGGGGAATGTGTTAAGTGACAATAGGTCTGAGTGTGTAAAGGGATTGGATTGTTGGGGGGGTACCCCTTTGTCCCATTTTGTGCCTGGTATAGATTCCCCAGACAGTGCAGTTAGTGCAACTATGTGAACTCTTAAAACCATCTGTGCTCTTTGGTGGGTAAAAAATATACATTTTGTTTTAATCTGGCCCCAAAGCAAATGTCTGTATACGTACATCCCAGAATTATTATGCGTCATGCTATAGATGCTTGTCTACACCTTTTTTATATTTCAGGCGAATGCAAAAGCAGACAGAATTGGACGTCACTGCAACAAGATAATTATGTATTGCAGATAGGGAAACATTGAAAACCTCGAGGTTTTTCTATATCTATACTTTCCAATCGTTAACATTAAAATGACAGCGTTAGATACAATTCTTAATTAAACCAAGCAATAATGAAATAGTAAGCGCTGACTTTTTTCTCACTCTATGTTTGTTTTTTATTCAAGATTTTTTCCATTACTAACTGAAAACCGTCTGATTCGAACCAAAGCAAAAGGTTTAATTATCAAAGTGTATTCTTTTTATCAAACCTAAGGGTGTAAACTGAATAGAAAACTTTTTTGTTTTTAAATCGAGCAACACTACAATATTTATAAGAATTTTTTTTAAAGAATGTATCTTTACGTACAACAAAAACATAATTTGTCCGATTTCTTCAAATGATTTTTTTTAGAATCACTTTCTGTGTATCTCTATACTCTTCTTCCATATATGAAGACTGTTGGACATCTTTTTTGAGTTACCTGAACTGAACGGTGCACTTTTTTAAACATTAAAAAATGACCAAGCATTTCTAGACAAGTGATGGCGCTTTTGCTTTGATGTAAATCAAGGAAGACATGGCTCAGGTTACAGGTTTTCATGTTGAAAATTTGAACCCCAAATTTGCTACCTGGGACAATTTCTGTGAAAAAGGATTTTCGCTGGGTTATTGCCATATACTTACACAGCAGTTAATTTCTAAAGAAAATGAAATCTGCCATAGCAGTGGTGTAGCGGCAGCGCTCGCGCGCCCCCCTGGAGTGGAACCCAAGTACCCACGAGGTGGAGAGAATAAACTCCCGGTAAGGGATGGATTGGACACAAATCTGCTGTGATGAGTGAGTTTATTGTTGTCCCATAGATTCGTCAATCAAAACAAAAACCCTAAAAACATATACATGCAATATGTGACACAGCTGGTGTGGCAAGCAAGCAGCACAGGTAGGACAGGCCAGCGTCTAGGTTAGCACATCTTGAAAGATGAAAGGCAGAAAGCAAAGGTAATCGTGCATACACATTGTATATAGTAAATCAAACCCAAAAGGGTGTGTCCAGCTACAATAGAATCTCTCGTACATGTACTAGTTACGTAATTTCAAGAAACATGACATTCCTGGGGAGCAAAGAACATTCAGGACGAATGAGGGCGCACTAACTAAATTTATGGGGCGCACTCCAAATAAAAGGACATACAGCAAAACGGGACCGTTGACGATACTTCGGCAACCGGTCACACAGGTATCCAGCACCAGCACTGAGTGTTGACTGCACAAATACTCTCATGAAGTTGATGTATCGCTCCTCAATTTCAAAGAGTCCCATGGTGGTTTTACTAGTTTTCGCTGCAATGGCACACGTATAATAATAACTCTAAGGCGCAAGAGGAAGTGGCGAAAGTATGTATCTAGTACTGATGGTGTTGACTGCACGAATTCTTTGTTTAACGCAGCCCAAGCCCGTGCGTATTTAACGAGGAGAGTATCAAAGACCCATGTTCGTGTAACAACGGGAAACAGTTGAAGTCAGAGAATAGACTCAGAACTGTAGATTCCCCGTCAGTTTCTACAGTTCCTCGTCCATTCTCCCTGATATATCAGTGGCGTAAATGTGTGGCGAGTATTTTAGGGGGCGGGGATGGGAAATTGTGGGAGAGGGAGTGACTTGCCTGGCGATTGAAATTTGCAAAAGTGTGTTTGGGAGGGTGGGGTTGCTGACACCATATAATACTGCATATGTGGCGATGTTCACGATACAGATGTACATCTGCAATATAAATTGTAACAAAGTTATTTTTG